ACTCGGGTCGATTTTCAGCGAGATATCGGTGGCACGGACGTTCCAGCCTAATGGTGGTAATACAAAGGGAATTCGTGTCCGCAATTAGACCGGTGGGGGCTCGCTTTTAAGGCGAGCTAATTATAAGACCGCATCGATCACCGAGCGAGACAGCGTTCCACGGTTTTCTCGGGCGAATCGCGATGTACCGGTTAGAATGGGTAAAGAGAAGCGCGGTTACGAGGGTTGGACCGAAGGGTCGCGGACCGTGAGCTCGAACATCGTTCAAACCACCGAGCTGCGCAATAGCGGAGGGGTTGCCGGAGATCAGCGTTACCCAGAAGAGACTCCGCTGGAAACGGAACGAGTGTTCGCGCGCTGGAACACCAGCGGCAGTAGCGTAGCTTCCACGGGTGAAGGTGGGAAATTTCATCGCCTTTTGGATTCAGGTGGCCAGGGGAAGAACGACTCGTGCAGAAAGGGAATAAATTTCGCGTGGAGGAAAAGCGCGAAACAGCGACGCGTTCTTAGAGCGTTATTGCACGGCTGAATTTCGATACCCGTTGGCGAACGACGGGCCTCGAAGCGCCGAGGGAAAAAGATGAAAAAACGACTGGATATCGGAATCGACTACGCCACTGGCCGTAGAGAACGCTGAAAGAGGGAAAATGGAGAGAGGGCGGCTAACAATGGCCGCCAACCAAAACATCCGATAAATCTAACCGGCCTGGACCTCAAGCCCCGAGGGGTTTTAAACTCTCTCACCCCAAAACACCGTCGACGCGGGCGCAACCCTTACATTACGCTACACTCGCCGGAAAAGGGAGCCATGCCGTGTGCCATTGCAGCGTGGGCCGAGGGTGGCGAAGGAGGAGAGGGTTAGCCTAGAGCACCGGTGCGATTCGCTGGGCGACGGGGTGTCGAGGGGGTTGATACGCGATCCACGAAAAACCAAACAGAGAGAATTTCGCCCCGGCTCACCCTTCTTCCCTCGACGGCCCTCCCTCGAGTCCCTTATACCTCTCTCTCGACCAACTCGCCCGCCCTACTCCACCCACAATGGTAACGAGATCTCCCGCGAGTGAACGGTCAAGTAGCTTTTCGACGGAATCTCGACGAATTTGTCGGACGCGACCGCGTCGTAATTTATCCGCTCGCACCCTGGTCCGCTGACACTGAAATTCCAACGGCGCGGGGTGGAGGGGGGGGGGCGTTTACGGTACGAGGACCCGTTTCTTTCCCGGTCGCATTTATTTCGGAACGAAGGGAAATTTAAGCGACGCTTAAATTCCACCACGACGCGCACGCGCTCGCCAACGACCCAGTTCGAATAACCAAGACGGCGCAATAAACGTCTGCCGTTCGACGAAAGAACGACGAAAAAAGAAAAAGAAAAAAGAAAGAAAAGAAACGAAAAGATGCGCGTGATCCGGCATCTCGCGACGAGATCTCTACCGATCTATTTTCTCGGGAGAACGACTCCAATCAGGGGGGGGGGCCTGTCCGTCGATCCAGACGAGTACAGTCTATCCTCGTCGAGATAAACAAAGCGAACGCGATTGACGTCAGGGATCGTATTGCCGTTAACGTGGCAGGGAAAAATGTACGCGGCACACATCGGTCGAGGAGGAAACGAATTAGAACGAGGTCGCGAAACGAGTCGGTGGATGTTTCGGGGCGTCTAATCCCCGCTGGCTGGTTCGGCGGTTAAGGTTCGACCGGCGTCGATGAGGAGATGGAGAACGCGCGTCGGAGATGGTCTCGTGAACGGGATCGAAGGAGAGAAAATAGTGGCGTTCGAAGACGGGTGTAATTTTACTAAACTGAAAATAACAGCGACGTCGGCGCATTAGGAAAGGCCCGGAGAACGAACGGACTCTACCCTGTAATGGATGGGCCGACGAAAATATATAGCCGGGGATAACGTGGACGCGCTAATGCTGTCGTCGACGCAGAAACTCGATTCTCGTCCGCGGAACAGCCGACGTATCGAGAGTTAAGCGACGCCTGGAATCCCGGGATTCCTCGGCAGTCATACATAATCAGCCTTGCGAAGTTGCTCTCCGTCTGGGATCTCTCTCGCGGCTGGTTGAACGGCCAACCACGTTTCCGTGTCGAAGAATGTCGATAGCTTTTAAACTACGTGCGCTCGAACGCGCGCACGCACCGCCATCACGCTTTTTCAACGGCCGTCCACGTTCGTCTCCGCGCTTGCACACCGTGGAAATTCAAAGCCGGCACACAACACGGAGACTTCCAGGCGAATTTACCGGCAATTTTTCCATCGGTTACCACACTTTTACCCGCCGGACCGGATCCGCGTGTCCCGAGAAATACGCGGTTTAAACCGCGGCCGATTGGGTCGAATGGAAATCACGGAGGTGGAAACAGCGATTCGAAAATTCGAAACAAAGGGTGGGGAGAAGCGTAAATTGCAATCGTTGCCGCGGTTCTATTAACGAGCTGCTAGGAAATAGTCATTATTAATAACCGGTGCATCCTGCAACAAAATTTATCCCGCGCTTCCGGCCGGTCGTTTAATTCAGTCACCGATATCGGTTGCATTCAAAAACGTGCGCGGTGCAGCGCGATCTAGCCGCAGGGAGACGCGTCGGGGGGAAAGATTATGAACGCATAAATCAAAAATTAGCATTAACGATTCATTATTAACAGTCGAGCTGCGCGGCCGAGATAAAATTTATCCCCCGTTTCCGTATTTCGATTAATTAATGCGGCTCCCGTAGCGCTTTTTAAACGACAATATTAACGCACCGCCGCGGAACAGGCTGACGTTTTAACGAATGGATGCCGTACGAGAGTCGATGGACGACGTCGAGAACGACGCTGACGACGCCGACGACGACGACGAGGAAACGCGGAATAGTAACCCTTAACCTTCGCAGGCTACTCTGATCGATCGAGCAGAGAGAAAAGATACGTATACGCGTACATATACGTGATTCGGTCCCTCTTTTATCGCGTCGTTTCATACCGATCAGCCATTCCGTTATTCGCTCCCCTTTTTCCTCCGCCGCGTTCTCCACCGCCACGCGCGCGTCCGTCAAAGTTCTCCGCGCCGTTGGAAAGTTTCGCGCTGCGTAATTACAATTAAACCCCGATCGACCTACCCTCCTCGCGCGTGTTTATCCGTCGTCTGGATATCGGGGGGTTTATCCGGCGCGATAAAACGGCGCTATCGTTGTCGCGATTGTCGCGGCGTAAAAGAAAAGATCGCGACGGTGGAAAAGAGCAAAAGGAAGGCCAGAAGCTTTCTCGAGAGCGCGCAGCGGATCCCGGAGTCGGCCGCTCCACCTTTTCTCTTTGCGGATCCGTCGGTGCTCGTGTGGCTCGGTCCGTGGGCGGAAGGAAGAGGTCCACGCGAGAGAGGCGAACGAAGAGGACGAGGGAGCAGAAAGAGGGACACACACAGACAGGTCGGTCCGAGAGAGGAACCCGCGGCTGCCATGGTTACCGTCGCATTCCCGCCTCGCCTCGTTGCCATGGAGACGCCTCGTGGTCCTCTCTCTTTCACCTTCGCCTGCCCTCTGTCTGTCTCCTTCGTCCTCCCGGCCTCCGACACCCTTCCCCACCCGCACCCCGCGGCAGTCCGCGCTGCCCTCTCGCTCCCGCCCTCGGGATCGCTCTTCCTCACTCTCCCGATCCCACTCTCTCTCCCCGTGTTTCTCCCCGTCGCGCCAACTCGCCGAGCTTCTCTCTACCTCTGGCATTCGCTCGTATTCCCTCCGTTCCTTCGAACGAAGAGGAAGAGAGGGCCCGAGATAAAGAGGAACGCGATAGGGAGAAAAGAGGAAAGCGGGCGCATGCGCGATACTCCTGTCTTCCACGACGAGCCTGGACGTCTCTCGTTGCAATCGTTCGATTAGTTATCGACTGAAAGTGATTTACGTCCCCTTATCGGGGCCCTCCTTGGCGGCCGCGTAATTTAATTAAAGGAGAAATCGAGGATGGACAGCCGGCCGATCGTTTCCGCGAGAATTGGACGGGCATCGATAGGTATCGATGCTCGACATCATCGCGCGCGATCGCGGCCACCGGTGGCAAACCTGTGGGGCTAACGAGGCATCCAGGAATATGTATTCCGCAGACGAATTCCTGTAACGCGTTTGCCAACCGCTTTTTCATATTTCCTTTCTTCTCCTTTTTTACCATTTTCCCCCCCATGCGAGAGATTTCCTTCACGCTTGGATATTACGCGCAGGAAAATATCGTCGGGATAGGCAACGACGTTGTAACGCGTGGAGACGGAGCACGGGGGGCGAGCGTGTACGCGTCGCGGCGCGATAGACAGGCGGAGGTGTAAGCGGCTTGCTTTATAAGCCCCGATTCTGATTGGCCGTCGCGTCACCCGATATCAATATTTATTCAACGCGGCGAATGCCCGAGGCACGATTAAAACTTGTTTATGCCGCGAACGATTGCGCTCCTCCCACTGGGGGCCGCGTATATCGCGCGAGAGTTCCCCCTGCACACGCTCGCCGTGCCTGCACGCGGGTCTAACGCCGCGCGTGTATTTCGAAACCAGCTCGCTTCCGTTTCGTTTCTTCCAACACCTGTTCCCTCCAACGCTGTCGCTTCATCCTCCTCCCCTGTACGAAATTATCGTTCCCGCGACGAGGAACCAGACGATCCTCTTGCTCCTCGTTACGACGACGTCCATCGTGTGTCGCGGCTTCGGTAAGGCTTCGACGGGAGGGGTGGAAATTCGCGACGAGTATCGGATAAATACGCGACACGTGACAGTATGGCGAAATGGCGAATCTAATCGCGACGATTAATGCCAAAACTTCACGGGGTCGCGAGCGTTAAGCAGCCAGCGTCCCGTTTAATTAAGGGTAACGTACGAGGAGCGTGGAAAATTTCACGAGAGTTCGGCTCGAACGTCCGGGAATGCCCGAGCAAAGAGGAGCCACGGCTGGCCCATATTTCCCCGAGACGTTCAATTTAGGGAAGAACGGAAAAGTTTGGAGAGAAGCGAGAAGAGAGAAGTTCGTAAGACTTACCGGGGCTACCGAGGAAGACGGAAGAGTAAAGAACGCCACGACGCGCGTCGCTCGCCGCTCGCTGCGCGTCCGGCGGCGAACTCCATTCCCTACGCGGACACCATTTACCTGAAGCAAAAAGAAAACATTCGAATCACCGTTAATCACTGCCACCGCGCAGACATCGGCTGCGGTGTCGCGCAAACGCTCGTCCGGCGAATTCATCCCTCAAGCGCGGGGTGAACCGCGCGCGATCGAGTGGACCGCGAGCGAGCAACGATCGGGGTATACGAATCGAATTTGCATCGTGTCGGTTACGTGGCCCAACGATACCAGAAACGAGTCGAATCACCTCCGAGAGAGTCGCCTCCTCGCTCGTCGGTTAACGAAATACGTAAATTCCTGCAAATAGGAGAACACCGAGGAGTTCCCCCGGTTGGTGCAAAAATAAATACGCCCGCCGTGGTAAAAATTCTCCGTGGAACAGTTATTACACGGCGGGACCCGGAGAGACGGAGGGCGTCGTGTGCGCGCCGAAAGAATGCAGCGAGGCCCGATACACAAAGGGAGGCAAAGAATTCGTGATCGTTCGCATCACGACTTCGACCGGGGAGAGATTCTATCGCGTGCTGCTCCATATATATCCCGTTACCTCTTTCCTTTCTTTTTCCCCGGGACCCGCTGGCCGGCATGCGATCTCACCCCTGCCGCGGCTCGTTCGACCAAGAATAATCGTGCAATTATAATAATTAGATAAACGCGCGAGGAGAGCTTGTTGCGTTAAGAGCCGGTACTCGCTCAAACGGGTTCACCGCCTACCGGAATGTATCGAACGAATCCTTGTGTGCCGGTCGTCCCGCTTGGACACCACGGGATTCGCAGCGATACCCAAACGCGAGATCCCGTATTTCGCAATTAAATTGTCGTCGATTAATACGAGCGTTGACGTCCATGTTCGGGCAAACTCTTTTTTCCCCCCGGCTTTTCCTTTTCTCCATTTTTTTTCGGCCTTTTTCTCCTTTTTATTTCGGCATCGTCGAGCGAGGAATACGCGACATCGAGAGCACGACGATAAATCAACGCAACGGCGACGTAACCGCGTGGAAAATAATTAGGGACCGTGAAAGGAGAAAAAAAAAAAGAAAAAAAAGAAATAATCGAGCCACGACGCGATTAACGTGGCGAACGTGGGAGCCCGCGAGACTGATTTATAAGGCAGACAGGAACGAGTCTCGTACCGGAGGTATTGCAATTTTCCGGATGCGAAAATAGGAAAGGTATCTACTTTATTTCCAGGGAGATCCCGGCTGAATGAGGATACACGGTAAGAAAGGGTGGCACCGGGGGATAAGAGTAAGCCGCGGAGCGAAGTAATTTCACACGAGAGAGTAGGGTCTCGCCTGAGCGGCCGCCGGATCCGCCGGAGCTACAGTCTTATCTACGGAAATATAGCGACCATCCCCCGGCGAAAATTATATTCTCGAAAAGCAGAAAATTGCTTCGAAGGCGCGATGGACCAGCCGCGCCCCGATATTAGGTGTCCCTCTTCGTGACTCGCGTGCCTGATTCACGCTCCGGAACCGTTGCCCGTCTTAATCTCGATCGATTAAATTGGCCGCGTGGTTTTCGCGCCGCGGCTGCTGGCAGCGCGGTGGCGGCGAGGAAAGCGGTTTCCGCGTGAAAAATACAGCTCGAGACGGTGATTTAACGCGCGCGACCACGAGCTCTCGACCTTTCTATCCTTCGAGGGTTTAACGGATGAAAAAACGCGGCCGAGATTCTAATTCCAGGGCCCGAGGAGAAGGTGCGTTTAGCCAGACGTTACGGTTGTGGTTAGTCGCGTTAATTTGTGGCCCAACGAAATGACAGGGCCGAACCAGTGATTCGAAAGTAATGGTTATCCCCGACTAGGACGGACAGTTGGATTCGCGTTAACGACCAGCAGATTAGAGATTCCACGACGCCTGATTCGCGATCAAACGATTCGCGCACCGAGAGACGAGCGAATTTCTGGGTAACGCTCGCGCGACATTCGCCGGGCGAATAATATTTCGGGATGACGGGGAAGACGGGGACGCGTCGGGGCAAAAGACGCTACGGGCGTCTACCGCAGGTAGAGCCGGGGCTCGAGGCGGAACGAAGACGCAGAGAGACGAGGTCTGTGGATCCTTCGGAGAAAGCAAAGATGACTGCCTCGCGTCGATGGAATCCCGCCTTTCTACGCTCGAAGCAGGAACGAGCGAATAAACGATACATCAGGATTATTCGGAGTCGGTCGCTGGCGTTGCCGACCCATTAAACACTGGCAGACCGTGCGTCACAGTTATCCCCGAAGTCGTCGATGAAACGGGACTCCGAGAATACCTGTAGGATCCTAGAGCGGAGGTGGAGCAGCCGTGAAGAAATTTATAGCCGCTAAGAGACAGGGTGTAATCATACGCGTCACCCCGTCAACTCCGTAACCGTGATTTATCGTGGGAATTTTCAAAGACGTCCAAGAATGTCTGCCATCTAGCTAGATGCGAATACCCGGCATTCCGTTCCGTTTCCTTCGGCTCTGTCATTTTTTCCCTCCCGAATTCTCGATCGCCGCCGATTTTCCGACGCCCCGCGACGCCGGGCCTAACCGGGCGCGGCCCCGGCCGCGAGAGTCGCGGGCGCGTAATCGAATCTGGGAAAGTCCATGGCAGACACGCGAAAGCGACGATCCGAATTCATTGAAGCGCTCGAACCGCGTCATGAATTATTCCGCCCCTGAAACTTTAATCACGGCCGATTCCGTGTTCCGAGGAGAGCAATCGTCGCATCTGGAAACGGAGCACGAGTCGGGCCGAGCGGGGGATTCGTTAAGTGGCATCAAGTGAGACGTCTCTTTTGAACGATCGCTCTGCGGCTAAATTGCGGGTTAACTTCGGGGTTCGCGTGTTAGCGACAGTCATGCCACGCGGTCGAGTCGTGTGTAGCAGATGAAACCGGAGTGAAAGAGAGAGGAACGTCAGAGGGAACGAGAGTCAGGAATCAGGGACGACCGAATTGGGGAGAGGTAGATGATTCGACGACCGCGTGTTCATCTTCGTCGTCGTCTTCTTCGTCGTCGTCGTCTTCTTCTTCTTCGTCGTCAGCGTCGTCGTCAGCAGCGTCGTCGTCGTCGTCGTTCTAACCGGAGACGAAAAGTTGGGACCAGGGGAGGCTGATACGTTCCCGTTCCACGCGCCAATGCGTCCCTCGTCTCGGTCCCGGTTTATTTTTACAGACTATCACACGCTCGACGATTGTAAATTGGAATGTAATTCGAGCAGCGCGTCCATGGATCTCTCATCGGTATCGGATCCTCCGCTGTCCGCCACTGATTCATCTGTGTTAACGAGTGTCGTGCTTCCAGTTTCAGCGGCCGGTTCGTTGAACTTTTTCGCTGGCCAATCGCACGGATATTCTCAATTACAATTCTGCTCTCTTTTTATGAGTCAGCTCGTGCATCGTGTTACTTCATTCGGTAGTCTGTCATCGGTTTTGTAATTCGTTTGGAATCTCGCTCGGCTGAGGATTACTTGACCCGTTGGTTAATCTTCAACCAGCATCGCGCGAAAATAAAACGACGTACACGCGTCGTGGCATTTTATTTCGGATGCCGTGCACCGTCTTTTCTCTCGCGATCTATCAACTCGGTACGAATTAAGCGCGGATCGAGAGCTCGGGGAACGCGCGTGAATAGGCACCCCCTGTAGGCGGGTGGACGGGCGTAACGCAGCGACAGGATCCATCAGCCGGGGAAAACATAGACGAGGTTATAGGCCGGATATAGATACATTCCCAATAACCCCATCGTATCGGGGTTGCGTCCTCGATATAAATAAATCAATATAACCTGCTTCCACCCTGAGACGCCGCCCTCTTTCGCCGTAAGGAAGTGACGTATGAGACTCGCATCCTCGAAACGAGGGTTGAGGAGGCCACCCTGTTATTTCACAGTTAGGCTCGCCCCACCCCTGGCTCGCGCCACCTTCAACCTTCTTCCACGCTGGCATCTTCTCTATCCGAGACCGAGCTTCGTCCCTAGTCTCGCTTCCAGGCGTGCACGAGTCCCTCGGGAAGCTTTTGTCCTCGAGCTGTAAGCGACTTCCTGACAGGCCAAGTTTGCACCTGCTCTCCTTTTGCCGCCGCTTGTATCTCTCTCCGCCCGTTTCTCTTTATTCTTCTCTCCCACCCCGCTCACTCTCTGCCCTGTCCCCGTGTTCCTCTACATTTTTCTCTCTCTCCGGTAACTTTGGTCTAACCTTAATGTCAACCCGCACCACCCACCGGCGTGTTACCCGGGACAAAATTTATTCGGGACGGGTATCCTCCGTCTTCCACGCCCCGTACATCCCCGGCAGACATCTCTCGTTCGAAGATAATCCGTAGTCGGATAGATCGGTTAATATACCTGGTGTGTCGTCGTCGCGTCGAATATTTCCCGACAGTCCCATCTCGATCGCGAGAGGCTGAGTCGCGGACGAATTCTCGATCGCGCGTATCTCGTTCTTCTGCTCCGACGAGTTCGTCTCTGGTTACCGGCGTGTCGCGTCGATAGCGTGTGACGAAAATGGCACGGGCCCCGATCGCGAACGAGTTTCCTCGAATAAATCAGCGCAGGGGCGGAGGGGTGGGAGGATAAAAGGCGAGAGAATAGGCGCGATAACTCGGAATTCTCGGGTTGGAAGATCACGGAAGAATGGAAGATCACCGCGATAAAGCGATCAGAATTTTCCACGAGGTCAGACGCGAATCGCGGCGCCCGTTTGCGTTTTCCATTTCGCGCGACCGTGTCTTTCTCTGCCACGGGGGAGGTGGAAGAGGAGTTGGAAGAGGAGGAGGAGGCGGAGGAGGTGGTAGAGAAGCGAGAGAGAGAAAGAGAGAGAGCGGAGAGGGACGTTCGCAGATGTTCGAGACGCCGGGTGATTAATGACGCCCGATAAACGTAATTTGTTGCGGGGCCGCGGACTCGTCGTCTCCCGGCTCGTCTTTCGAATTCAAATTGATAAACAGGACGCAGTTTGTAATGGCCGGTGGGTTGCGCTGCCACGGGACGGCCGGCTGTCGGATGAGCCGGACGACTTCACTGACCGACCGGCATAGTAATTAATTTTAAG